TGCCAGGAGGAGTAAGTACAAACCTGACAATGTTAGGGGAACCTCCTCAAGGTGGAAATTTGCAAATAGGGCTACTGTAGTATGTAATGAGAAGCTGCAGGGCTTTCAATTATCCCACATAGTCTGTCTCTTTGCAACTTGACTGACAGCTAATTATGCTGGTGCCATTTTTTTTTTTGGCAGTGGAATTTAATCTCCCAGATGGAAAGCAAATCAATCTGCCCATCGCTGCAGCTGAGGTATACTTTGGCTCAACTTTAATTTATTCTCCAAAGCCGAAGGAGGCTGGTCATTTCAAGGTACAGAAATATCACATTTCTCCTGTTAACCAGGCTGGTAAAAGGAAAAAAAAAAAATAGGGAAGAGTTGGGATTTTGTAGGCTATGCTGTGAAATGTTGTCCTTGCTTTGTATTAGGAAACAGCAGTATCATCTCCCCTTGATTCCTGTGAGTGGAGTCTGACAAGGAAGAAGCATTTATGAGCTGGGTGCTAGTGATAATGGTTAAACATGAGTTGTGGAGGCATTAAGTGGGATTCTATGGAGGAATGAACTAAATCTCTGAAGAACTCAACACAAAAAGGAATTGGTGGCAATTTTCAAGCACTTTAGCCAGTGTGCAATAGTCTGGTTCCCATTGGGTTTCACACCAGGGATATAAATACAATCTTTCTACTTACCTGCGCTCTTCAGGCCTATCAATTATGCTGCTCCCTCTGAGTTGCTGTTACAACTGTAGGTATTACTGTCCTCTGCAAAACCATCACAGAGCAGAGTATGTGACTGTTTACCATGGGCTGCAGACCTGATCTTTGAGTGGCCAGGCAACTGCAGCTCCTGTCAGCGCTATTTTTCAGGCTAGAAAGCCAATGTTAGCTGGGATCAAGGGGAAACGAGCTCACAAAAACTTGAGGTTAACAAACATAGGGAAATTAGAGCCTGATTTTACTGCAGACTTCTGCTTGTTTGGCTAACGAGGAATGCTCTCACCTTGACAGCCTCTATGTGCTACCTACGTTCCACCTGTGTTTTTTACCTTCTGGTGTACTTTATCTGAATTCTCAATTTCTCAGATTCATTGGATGTATATACTTTGGCTTTGGAGAGTTCACAGACCAAAGAGTTCCTGATTCCTTTTTACTGGAAAATAAGCATTTCTAAGAGTGCCTTGCTCATGCCTAGTGAGTCAGATTCCAGCCTCCTTGCACTTGTATAAATACTGGCTGTTTTACTGCCTTCACTGCAGTAAATCTGCAGGCTGAAAGATCAGAAGCTCTCACATCTTGCTGTCGATATCCATCTCTTCATGTTTTCATACAGTAATTATAATCATGATGCTTCTCCTAACGAGTCAGAAAATGATATTTTACAGTTATAAAATCTTGTACATGGAAGCATTTGCTCGTGACAAATCTCTGGAGAACAGACGTTCAGGTGCTGTCCCATCAGGTGCATTCATTACTTTGCTGCATGCTGTCCTTCTACTGTGAGACAGTTTAAGATGGAGCCTGTGCAATGCCCTCACAGTCTGTAGCAGAGAAGAGATATCATTCAATGGATGATCAGAATGTTAATGAATCTATGGAAAGAATCATCAGTATCTGGGGAAAAGCACTGCAGGAGAACCAGAATGTGGGATTGAAAAGTGACATTGTGTGTTTGGTAACATATTTGTGGTTATAACACCACTCAAAGATATTTGTATCCTTGGATTGAAAGCAGGGATCAGAATAGGGGCAGCCCCCACCTTATTTCTGTACCTCCTGGCACTTGTGGTTATTGAGATTAGTTCTTGCTTGGCTGCTTTACTTTTCCAAATGCCCCAATCTCTGCACAGAGCTGGATGCCCAAGGAGGCAGAGGAGCAGGAAGAGTTGAAGCAGACAGGCTTCTTTCCAGACTTCTGCCCAGGGCACATCTAAGAACAGGGGGGGAAATCTCAGTCAGGTTTGCAGGACAGATGTGGATGTTAGGAGCCTGCTTGTACCTCTGCATCTGCCAAAATGCTAAAGCCAAACTTCCGAAAAGTTGAGATCTAGAAGAGAGCTGAAGGAAATGCAGCAAGATTTGTTACTGAATCTTAAATTAATCATGAAGGATGGAGGGCTGATTCCAGTGGAATGTAACATGAGACCAAAAGTCTAACCTGTCCATCACGGCACCAATCATCCAGAAGACACATCTGCACTGCGGTTCCCAAATACTCTGCCCTCCTCCAACCGTTTTAGGAAAGTAAAGGTTACACAAATGTTGTTATTCATTGCTTCCATTTCTCAGGGGGAAAAAGGCCTTCAGGAAGGAAGGATTCAAAGAGGCAGATGAGCTGCAGCATGATTATGAATTCTTCCCCTTCAGTGGGGAAAAGAGAGAGACCCCAAATTTGCATTTTTGCTTACTTCCTCTCTGGGGCAAAGTAACACTTCTGTCAGCAGCTAATTGCATCTGAAACCCAGCCTGGCAACCTGACCATGTCTGTGGTAGGGTAATTATACCTGCTCAACTAATCATAGTGGCTGACAACTTGGGATGAAAAAAGCTTTGGCAGGATGATAGCCTACAGAATTAGGGGGAACTGCTAAAGTAACACAATTTGTGATTCACCCAAAGGACGGTATTACAATGAATTACCTACAGGAGGGAAACTCAGTCGAGTAAAAGCAGAAGAGCAGAGGAAAGCAAGACTTGAGGCAGTGGATGGAAAATGCTGCTGGCTGCAATGTTTCCAACACCTTAAAGTATTTAGAGAACATTCATTTTAACCATTGTTTTCAGATAAGTTCCCTAATGGACTGCAGCAATGAAAGAACAAGCAGTAAAGATAAGTTCACTGAGACTTTCAGTGTGTGGCCTTCCTTAAATGATTAATTAATTTTTACATATGGTACTAGTATGTTTAGCTGTTAAAAATGCTGGGAAGACAGCTCCCAAAGCGATGTTGTTTTGGTCCCAGTACACATTAGCAGCAATTTCTTCTGTTTTTCTTGTTATACATGTAACCAGATATGTTTCTTTTCAGGTTTTTGAATCCATGCCACAATCTGCTGGGGCTGCACCACATGGCTGAGTTCAGGCTTGTTCTGGGATCTCTGGCTTCTGCTTTCTTCACACGGCCTGCTGGGTTGCAGGACTTGAGGGCAACATTCTCCAGGCTGTGGGGAAGGTGGATGATCCACAGTAGTCAGTGGAAACACCGAGGGTTTAGGAGCTTCTGTATGAGTGCCAGGAAGGAGAAGGATGCTCTGGAATTTATACAAAAGGAGAATACAGTGATGCTCACTAAGTGATGTCCCACAGCTGGGTTATAACAAGAATGGAGACCTTAAAGCTCTCAGGTTGGGGCTCTGCCTGCTGAGAAGCAAGGCGATCCCCCACTCAAAGCTATGTGAGAAGCATTGGTAACTGTTTCTGTTTACTCTGGAACATGTTGCTGAGGGCTCAGATCCTCATCAGGTGGGAGACGTTCATGAGTCCTTTTGCAAATTAAGGGCTGAATTCATACAAAGCAAACCTTGCATGTCACAAGCAATGATCTGAACTACTCACAGAGCCAGTGGCTGAAGAAGTTCATAGTTGACATCTCTTCATCTTTTATAACAGTGTAAAAGATCTGTTAAACACGACTGCAGGCTGCATTTTTAACTGCTCTGAAAATACCAGTGGTATTTTAAATACTTTTTTTTTTTTTTTTCTGTTGTTGATGTAATTTGAAGGGGAGAAAAAAGACTGCACTTTAGAATTTACTGTAATGTGTAAAGAGACCAAGGAGCTGTAATCTGTTGGGTACACACTTGTTGGGATGCGCACGTTCCTTCTGCAATGAAAAAGGAAGTGTCCTTCTCGTACCAGGTGTCTCCTCAGGACCCCCTCCTACATGCTTGTCTATGCTTTTCTCTGCTTTTCAATCCTTTCAGTGACACCTAGTGATAGTTGTGGAAAGTGCAGCTTCGTGTTGTCTGCATGAGGATCAACACAAGGATAGGAATGTGCCATTAACAACTCAGTGCTAAGGTGTGCTACCTTCCTTATTGCTGCTGAAGCTGCTATTGTTAAAGATTGACACTGTAATTCAACAAATTTCAGTTTGATTTCATAGTGTGGTCAAACACCCTATGTGTTTGATGCTCAGAATTAATTTACCCTCTGTTCCTAACTCTGTCTGCTTGCTTAGAACAGCACTGCTTTTTAAATTTTACCTTCCAGTGTTGTCACTGTTGATCCTCTACAGCACTCAAATGCTGAAAGTATTCACAATCCTATGCAAAAAAAACAACAAAAAAACCACAACAAAATCTTGACAGAGCTTAAGCTTACCTGCTTTTAATACTTGGTACTGAGTTTACTGAAAGCAGTCAGATATGTTCCATTCATTGCTCTGGATCAACTCAGGAGGGATGCGAAGCACTCTTTCATCAGCAAATGAAGTTTTTAATAGAAATGGAAAACGTATGCCTACTATCTAGAAAGCAGGCTAAAGACTTCAAAGGAAGAGCTTCCTCTTCAGAGAGCATTCATATGCTTTTGAATGTGTAACCTTTCCTTTCTCAAAGTACAAAAACAAGTGGCTTCCGTAAGGTTTTTGTTGGTATGGATTTCAGCTGTGCAAGCGATATGGCAACCAGTACAAACTGGGCTCATAAAGATTTGGAAATAATACAGAATGGCTTCAAACAACCCAATATTCAATGACTGGAACTAGTTCAAAAAAAACCCTAGGCCTTACTTGATTTAAAAGGCTGGGACCTCTCTCACTAAGCAGCCAATTAAGTCAGCTTCTCCTATGGGAGATCTGAAGCACCAACTGGAAAGTCTGAATGCTCACAGAAGAAAGGGTCAGTTGTGAGAGGTACTGAGTGTGCAGACATCCACTCAGTACATATAAGATGCCCAACATCTCCGGACAAGATTCCAGGCTACTAATAGAAATCTGCTGTAATTCTCACAGCTAACTTCCCTGAATTTAAAAAACGAAGACTTAAGAGAAAAATTCCACTACACCAACAGCAACAGTTCAAACATTTTACTAAATCAATTCACACGATTTCAAAATTGTAAATATAATTAAGGACAAGAGGGTCTCTGTATCTTTTTCTTCCAGATTTATCATTAAGACAATAAACAAACACAAATTAGGTTTATAGCATCTGTTCTTTTAAAAAATGAAAGGAACGCCACTCGATGTATTGATAAAGCACCACAACACAGTTACAAAATAGGGTCGGCCTGTTTCTTTCACAAGTAAAAGACTACATTTTCCTAACAGCTTCCTGCTTCAATCCATACTTCATTAAAATAAAACTATAAAATCTCCTAGATTACACTAAGTTCAGACAATGCCTGGTATACAGTGCATTAACAGCAGTAATGCCAACTATCAGTGCCAACATAAAACATTTTAGAAAGTAAAAAACAAAACTAAAATAAATCCAAAAAACCACCTTTATTTCCCTAGATGAGCAAAATTTAAAATAAGGGATGTTCTGCTTCACAATGAGTTAAGGTTTCGGAGAAGAGGAAGGGTAGAAAGGGGCTGGTACTGCAGCTTTCTATGCTCAGTTGGCATCTAGTTTGGCCATTTCCTGCACGTATATCCCTATACTCTCACTGTCAAAGAGCACAAAGTACACCGTCTTGATTGAAGAGGACATTGTTGACACAAAGTAGCTGGAGATGGCTTTCAGGATCAGCTGCGCAGCCGTTTGCTTTGGAAAACCGTTTCTAGTAGGAGAGACAAAAAAAAAAAAAAAAAAGAAAAGACAGAAAATCAAGTCCTGCTGAACAAGATTTTGATAGTGTAAACTTGCACGGAATGCTCAGGCTTTTCCCTAATGAAGCACAGTAAATAAAGCTACAAAGCCAGTGTTTACCATCTGAATTAGAAGCTACAAAGTTGTTTGTTTAGGCAAGACTTAAAAGTTCAAACAAAAGAAAGCATTCCCAAAATAGGAATGCAGAGTCCACACACGTTAATGGGTTGAACCCTTCAATATCTGCTGGCTCCATTGTTCTCATCTAGTGGGCAGCTAAACCATGCACTCACAGATATGACAGTCACTACTGCTATAAAGTGTGTATTTACTCAAATCTTTCTTAGACAAGCAGTGATAAGGATGTACTAAAACCATTCTCAAATGAATTTTCAATACAGAAATGGCAGAGGTGGGTGGTAACAGCTGTAATTTTGACAACAGTGGGATTTTTTTCTTTTTTATTCCTTGTAATTCTGTAAGTCAGTGATTTATTTTTTTTTTTTCCCCAAATTTATTACTGTTATTTTTGAAGAAGGAAAAAACAATAGCTGTTTTTGACTAGACCCACAGCCACCTGGAAGTCAGCAGAATGCAGCTGCTGCACACAGTACAGCAGCCTATGGAACTAATTATTTTGTTCGTGTTATTTCCTCCAAGTGTGTGTGTTGCTTACAATTACACATGACAAGGGAAAATTCCTGCTGCACGTGCTTAGAAAGAGGAAGAGATAGCTTGGTTAGTGTCAGTGACAGGGGGCAGAGCAAGCCCAATGGAAGTACTATCAGGCTTATCCAATGACCCCACTCTGCTACTTGTTACCTGGAAACAGTATGAGCCAGCATCCTCTGCATGGAAGCTGAAACTGGAAGACCACATGAAATCAGTGCTGCCATGAGGGGAGCCACGGAGAGCAGCACTGGATGATACAGATGCTTGAAGTCACAGTACAAACGTGTCTGTGACAGGTTTGGTAAGCATGATTCATTTTTCTAAGAGTTATGTACACAAACAATATAGCAATGGAATTAATTTAATGATGCAATCAATAAAAAGAGACGTGCAAGGAGCAGAGGAAGGGATGACAAAGTTACACATGTTTTCCTTGATTGTGAAGATTGTACTTTCCAAGCATATCATCCTCTTTTGTTTCTCTATAGATCACTACCGATCTTTTGCCTTACTACAAATCATATCTTCTTTCTCCTTTCTTCATTATAGTTCAGAACAATATCTTCACAGAAACTATTTCTGTACAAGTCCCACAGCTCCGTCAATTCAGCCAATCTCTAAAGAGACATAACCATATTGCTACATCTGTAGTGGAAATGCTAAGTCCTGTCTTGAAGCAGTGATGGAGCACCTGGTGGGAAGGCAGGGCCAACACAAGGGAGCTCATGTGCATGCAGTGTACCTGAGTGATGGAAAGGCTGAAGCCAGGATCCACCCCTTCCCAGATCTCATTTAAGGGTTGGCAGTGGAAGCAAAGGGATCTCTCTGGAGATCCCTGTGTACCTGAGTCCTTCTGAAGTTAAGCAGCTGATTTCTCTTATTTCTGTGCTTACTGCTGTTGTGTTGGAGTTAGGGATCTTGTTGCTCTGCTGTCATTGCTGTGATTTCCATCACGTTACATGTATTATAGTGATTAGCAGCTTTGAGAGATGTATCTTTGTTTCAGCACTCATCACGCTATTGGAATGTGGTAATGATAGGAATGGTACAACTTAAGAGAATTCCAGAATTCAAACACTTCTGTCAACAGAAGCTCTGCTGTTGAATTCAAGCAGAGTGTGAGTAGTCTCCAAGGGAGAACAAACAGGGAAAAAAAAAAATCACATTTCTCTATTGAAGGAAGCTTTAGAAAGTGAAGTAAAAGAGAATACGGATGACCTTTAATACAGTCTTTCATTTGAGCCAACTGAAGGGTGTAATACTGACACATAAGATAGGGCAATATTAATAACTTACAGATCATACAGATGGATGGATTTCTCAGTTTCCTCATAAACTTAAAGAAATGTAGAATAGAAGCTGGGCTCAATTCACCTCTGCCATTAACAGGTGCATCATGACTTAGTATTTGCCCCCAAAGCACCAAACTGATAATAAAACATTACTGAACTCTCACTCTCATTATATGCAGTAGGACACAGAATGAGAAAGGCAATTGCCTATGTCATGGACAGTTCACTGCACATTACCTTACCACAAAATACACTCCAAGAGCAATTCTGCAGTACTGCTGCCTGTAATGTACTGTCTTCAGGTGGCATGAATAACATCACATGTGATATTTCAGGAATGATTACATGGAATAGTACTGCTGCTTCTTTCTATTCTGAAAAAGAGCACTTTTTTTCCCTTGTTGGAGCAGAAGAGGGGAAAAAAAAACATTCTGAAAACATTTGTACATTTCCAAAGCTGACTGAGTTGGCTGGTGAGAATGAGCTGTGTGATCTGACAGCAGTTTCAACACCAGAGCTACTTCCTACTGTTGGCTTACACACAGAAAAGGGCATGGAGTCAGTATGCCTCCACATCTGATTGTTTGCTTGTTAACTATGAATGCTGCATCCTGACATATATATAGAGCAGACATCTGAGGAATTCTGCTCCTAAGAAGGACCAGTCATGAAGGAGAACATAAAAATCAAGGTATACCCTGTTTCTGAGTTGTTTAAAATGGATTCATGACATGAATGAAGTCATACAGCTTCCACTTCCTTGATGTTCCTGCAAGGTGGTCACAACAGGGTGAAAGAGAGAAGAGCAGACTGATCAAAGGGAGGCATGCCCACAGGGAAGCTGAATAAAATGAGTTGTTTAGGACCACTGTGGAGGAAATAAACAGATGGAGAGGGGGAAAATCAGAAGTAGGATGCTGACCAGTGGCCACGTATGGGCTGCAAGGTGAAACAGAAGCCTCTTACAATGATCTACTGTCTGATTTATGGTCTTGTGAAAAGGCTGTTGGAGAATTCAGCCAAGTTGGTGCCAATTCTGTTCAATGTTAGAGCCTCCTCAGAATGAAACCCCCACTTTGAGGGTTATTTTATTTTCACTCTCAAACTCTTCTTTCTGTGTTCTACTGCTGGACCTACCAGACTGAACTCCAGGCTACCTTTGTACAGCACCCAGTTAGTGCTTGCCATGAGTTGGCTGTAGCTGTGCATCTGGCCCTCTGAATGCTACAAGTATGCTATTTTATTTTCCCCCATGATTTATTTGAACTGCCCTCATGTAATCCCATTCCTCAACTATAAAAGAGAATGAAACTGTTTATGTGGATTTATTGGGTGATGTCTGCTTGACAGATGTCTGTACTAGAACAGCTGCATACATGTGGTGTCTTTGGTATTTGCTGTCTTTGAAAGCTTTACTTTTTTAACACTTCTGACTTCATAAAAAAGCAAGTAAAGAGTACTGTCAGAATATACTGTTTTCTCAAAAACTAATTTATGCTTGAATATTTCTAATTAAAGAAAAAAGGGAAAATAAACAACATATGTTTCTCCATGCCAGTTGATTTCTCTCCATGTTTTAAAAGCACCACTTCAATTGGCTTGAGTGAGAGCAACATGCATATGCCAAGTTGAACACAGCCGCAGATCTTGCCTGTCAGTAACTGGATTTCATAACAGAATGTGGATCTTATGATTATTCAGAGTTTCATCATCACCCAGTATCAATTAACTGCCTTGCAACAACAGTCTGAAATGGGTGCTCTCCAGAAAAAGGAGATCTGTGGAACATGCTTCTCATAGCCTTGCTTTAGGCACCTACATACTGAATTCCTTAGCTACTCTACAGTCTGTGGAACAGCACAGTTTCTCCAGAAGGGCAGTTTACAGAACAGCCTAGTTCGTGGATTTTGGATTATTCTGCAGAAAAGCTTTTCATTTCACTGAGTAGTCTTCAAACCAACAGCTATCAATTCAACAGGTCAATATGGATCCTCCACTGCATCACAGTATTAAGGAAGTAACAGAAGCAAACTTTGTAAAGTGACACCCACTCAAAACAGCCTTATTTGGAGCTTTTTCTGATGCAAGACACTTGTATTTATCATCCTAGTGAAACTTCTGTTTCTTTATAGTTATTCACCCTAAAGCTCAAGCCGTGCTTTCTGCTCTACAAAGAACATGCACAGATGAATCCAGCATTATAAGATGGGAAGAACATTCTTGCAGAAGATCAGCCAACTTCTTTCATGGCAACTTTGAAAGTGGCAGTTGTTTAGGGTTAAATATACTACTGTGTAATTCAGCATAGATTAGGTCTTCATAGTGAGCCATCAAAGGCCATATGTTTCAAACCTCCCTTCTCTTCCCAAATCCAAGTTCGCCGAAATTCTAGTCTATATTTAGATTCTTAAGAACATTATTCAACTTTCTAATGGCATCGAGCATTCTGCACAAAGCTAGAGAACTTAACTTTAGACTTAGGCTTTAAAAATCTTGGCAAAGGCTTTAAGATAACTTTTTTTCTGGAAGAGTCCCATGATGTAAACTTTGTGGAGTTTAGTTTATGGATTTGGGGTGAAAGCTTGAACTGACTCTGCAAATCCTGAGAATCAAGGCTCTTCAGGTCTGCTGCTTACACAATGCTAAGATGTCTTCTAGCCATCCCAAAACTGTAGTAGGTTTAGTTACGTGCTAAAACCACGTAGAATAAACTTTATTTCCTCTACATCTCAAGCTGATACATTGTTAAAAGTCACTTTTGGTCTTTAATCTGTTTGTATGATTTAAGATTGCAGGGATTATGCTAGATGTGCCAAAGTTTAACTGTTACTAGGGAAAATACTACAGGCTCCATGTGGAGCTTGAAGGAACCTAGAAGAAACAACTTGGGGAACTGAAATGAACAAAAAAGAATGAAGTTAGCATGGTAGAAATGGGTTTTATGTAAGAAGAGACAGGAACATGTAACAGGACCTATAACACTTAGAAAACGTGGTCAGTATCAAGCATTAGGCTTGTGTAACAGCCTTACCTGCCACTGCCAATTGAAGGAAATGCAATTGATTTCAGCTTCTTTTCATCAGCCAGAGCCAAACAGTTCTTCACCGTCTTTTCCAGCAGCTCCTCACATTTGTCTGAGCCCCAGCCTGGGCTGTTACAGTGGATCACAAATTTTGCAGGCAATCCATGGCCAGCACTGACAACAGCTAGTAAGAAATGAAAGTGAAACATAACTCTTTCCTCTCATAGCATTAAAAGAATGCATATGTGATTAAAATAGCAAACGACAGATATTCCTTTATCCCCTCTGAGTGTTTTAGATTAGAAATCACACAGTTTTAAAATATAACAACATGATTACAGAGACTTTCCTATTTCCAGCTGTACTTTGCCATGGTAATTTATAAATCATAACTATAATTGAGCTTATTTTGGAGAGAAAGAATTCATGACTGACATCAAAGGAAGTGCATTTATACTGGGGATTGTGGAAATTTGTGTAATGTCTGAGAAAAAAGGCAGTAATCTCTTAGAATGTAAATCCGTTCTAGGGATGATCTTGCTTTGGTTCAGAGTTTAAAGCTGAGCTACAATAAGTATTAGGATGCTGCCCTGCTGGAGTTATGACTTGTGTGACCTTCAGCTACTTTTGCTATACATTTTTTTTCCAGCTAACCTCTGATAACAATGAAACCCAAATTGGATCAGTTTGGAGCTTTTAGTGTTCCACAAGTTGGCAAGAAAGGCTGGAAAAGAGATAAACTAAAGCTTTTGCTTCCAGCTTTGTTTCTGAGTAATAGCAGAGAAGATATTTTGTGTCATGTCCTAACTTTGGACCCAGTTCTATTCAAGTTTTTTTTGTGAATGGGTCATCTGAGCTGAGACTGCTTACACAATGCCACTTTTAAGTGACTCTTTTTTCCATGTTTTTGACAGACAGTTGGACAGGGTGCAATAATAGCTTTACAAAATTTGATTCACACTGTTTATACACCAACAGTTGAGGCCTTGTACGTACAGGGAACTTTAACCACACCAATTGCATGCTATCACCAGGATGCTGGCAGGGACACAGAAGGATTACCAAGGCAAAGGAGCACCTGCCTACTGCCCACTGACAGCCAGTGAGTCTCCAGAAAGCAGAATAAGAGCATCAGAAATGGCAGCTGAACTCACAGGTCTGCAGCTGCAATTAAAAACTTGTCACTGTCTTACAGGATCATGCATTGAACCTTCACCAAGGGTCAGCCCTCTAATAGACTATGGGATATAATAATATAAGACTGCAAAAACACAGGTTAAAAACAAAAGCTTGTATCTTCCAAAACAGTAGGAAAAATACCAGGAATCTTTGCAAAAATCAGTTTTGTAAAGGTGCTGAGAGGCTAGGCATCCTCTTCTTCATTCTGGAATCTTTATGAAGTGTTTTTTTAATTTAAATACAGTAGAGAACTTTGGGTGCTATTATACAGAGAAAATAGACTTTGTCATGTGACATTCTGAGTGACTCATCAGAAGAATACATTTGAAAGGACAATGGAAGCACAAGGGCTGATGTTCTTCTGGTTTTGTAGATCCTGAACACATTGAACAACTTCAACTCCAGGCAACTTTAATTTGTCCTTAAAGGCAACTAAAATGTTGGCAGATCCAGACTACATCATAAATCCAAGAGAAATCTCATAAAAGCAGCTGACATATCTCCAGTCAGATGTGAAGTGCTGATAATTCCTTCACACTGAAAAAATAAAATGCCGTGTTGATATACATCACCAACTTCAGTATTCCTCAGACAGGGAGTGTATTCTAGAGTAGTCATTAACTCAATTAGGATTCTGTTGAAGACAGTTGTTAATTACCCAGAGCAGCTGCCCCTTTCTTTAAATGCAAATGTTCTGAAAGGGGAAATAAGTTTTGCTACAGAAACAAACAAAAAGAACCACTGCATTGTTCTGTGCTACTTACAGTCATGGTCCAGGTAAGGATCCTGGTTATTTTATTAAAAGGGATACCCTTATTATTGAGAAATCTGACAACTGCATATCCATTAATGGGGAAGTTGACTCGTGCACAGTCTTTTCTAGCAGTCAGGTTCTGTGGGGTAGAATGTAGCTCTCCACAGGGTGAGACTGCCATGCAGTGCTCAGATCTGAGGGGTGCACTGACGTCTGAGAGAAACACCTTTTTTATTTTTTCCTCCAAATTGCAATCTGTTTGTGAGCACAGTTTGTCTTGCTCATTGGTGAGTTGATAAGGAGTAATGTATGTAGATAAGGGGGGGAAAAAAGAGAGATTCCAAATATTTTAGCAAAGCAAAAATTCCGAGGAAAACCGAGGACTGTTTTTAAAAAGCAAGGAAGAAATCTGTACGAAGCACCAGAAGCAAACAGTCACAATTCCTTCTGTCATAGTTGAAGTCTTTCATCTCTCCCTCAGCTTTAGTCAAAACTGGCTTACAAAACTGCATGTACTGTATTTATTTTTATAGCATAAACACAGATGGCAAAACCAACATTCTATATGAACCAGCATGTATCAGCAATATCACAGATGGTGTCAAATTGCCATTACCAAATGTTAGTACTCTTATAGTAGATTTTTCTCAAATATTGCATAAAATTTGATAACTAGACATCAAAAAATCATAAGCTTCTACAGTGATTATTTTGGCACTGATTAAATGAAGTACTTAAGCAGGTGCTTGACTTGAAGCACGTGCTTAAGCTCAGTGAAAGTCAGTGGCATTTTGGCAAAGCAGACATCTAACAGAGTTGAATTCAACCACTCTGATAAATAAGTATCCAATTAATTGCTTTTAGGAAGTGTACCCTTAATGATCAACCCTCCTTGTGTATGTGTGCATCTGTGAACAGCCTGCTGTTCGTTGTAATATCACATCACTGTGCCATTTTCTGGTTACTTTGGTAATGGCTGCTTAAGATGCAATGTGTGTATTATAAGTTTGGAGAGTGCAGATAACAACATAACCAGCAGTGATGGCTGGGCACAGCAGGAAGCCAAGCAGTGTGCTGGGATGTGTGGCTGGCTGAGCCACGTGTGTTCCGAAGCGCAGAGCCTCACCTCCAGCTATGTCCAAGGGCCCGTTCTTTTTCCGAAGCTCAATGACAGCTTCCACAAACTCCTTGCCACCTTTCTTTTCCAAAGTGCTTCCTGAACAGAGAATTGTTATATTATTCCTTTCATCTCAGGTTTCCCACAGCAGAGACGACTTATCATTATTTGTGATTACATCATTCTAGGTATTTCTGCCCAAATATATTTTTTTGGGGACTGCAAAGTAAGATCTAAACCTTTTGGGACTTCAGAGTTAGCTATTCATTAAAAACAACAATGATAACAACAACAACAACGAAAAAGAAAACAACAACAAAAAGACAACCCTAAGAACCCCAAAACTTTCCATCTGCATCCCTTGCTAACATCCTCAGACTGATTTTAATGTCAAAACATCTGACATGACATCCCTATCTCCTTCCTTATCATGAGCATCTGTCAATGTGAAATGCTGCAGAAGAATGTGCTAGCTCAAAAGTGATTGAAGTTCCATAATTCCTTCCCTTAAGATTCATTTCCCCTCTCTCTTATAAATGTTTTTAAAGAGCCATTTGCCACAATAAGAATTTGAAACTCACCTGATCTTGGTCCCTGACCCCAACAGGTGGCACCAGGAATGAAACAGTCTCGTGAGTGCAGCGGGCTGCTTTACTTGGTAACTGCCCAGCTTGTTGAGCCACCTTTAACCAAGAGGAAGAGCCTCAGAAATAAGGAGAATCTCTAAGGAACATATTCCTCCAATGAACTTCTCTGACTACAGCTAAGGAGCTGGACAAAGTCATTTTGGGAGGAGAAGAGCTGTGCAGTGTTTCAAGGCAACCAAAAGGTATGCTTTTACCAAAGGCAGTCCATCACTAAATGGTTTAGATCTTATTTTGCAGCTCTAGTTTTAGGTATAAACATATGTATAAGAAAAAACAGCCCAATAAAGCATTTTCCTAACTACATAAGCATCCCAAATAATTCTGCGCTGTGCATATTAATTATTAAGGCAGATAAGTAAAAAGCAGTGGTATCATAAAGGCTCTGATTTCAGATATTACTTCCAAAACTGATTTCCAAAAATTCAGAACTAGGATCTCTAAGGATCTAGGCTTTTATTTAGTGAAGCCCCTTACTTTCACTGATGGAGAAAGAAAAAAACTCATTTTTCTGATGGAAGTGCACATACTGTATGCTCAATGAAGCAGAGCCCCTCCTCCAAGGTTCAGCTTAATAAATAAGAGTTATAGCTCTGAGAACTAAGAGGACTGCCAGATGCTTTCGTTTTGACCCCGTTGCTAAATTTCATCCAAAATGACTATTAAAAGTTTCTTGAAAACAAGAAGGCATTTGTTTGCTCATTCAGAAACTGACCCTGCCTCTATTTTGCTATTGGTTTGTTGCTTTTGGGGTACAATCCTGAGCATAATTTAGAAGTGTACATCTCATACTTTGCTTTTTTTGTAACTAATTCAGAATTGCAAATCAGACTGTGTAAGTCAGAGTGTAATTTGCTCCTTGGACTCAATTAAGCTTTTTTTATGTAAATACTCTGGTGTAAGCTTATTTAGACAAATTCCACACTAAGATTTTTATGAAGTTCAGTTAGCTGTGCAGCTGAGTACAAGGCACCATCTAGCAAATCTCTTAGGTAAGACAGCAACGGCTCAACTACAGCAGCAAGGTGTCCTAGGAGAGCAGGCTATGAAGAGAGGTGTGCCCAGGGCTGGTGGCTCAGAGGAGCACTGCCTTTACAGCAGCCGTGGCTGAACCTCTTTACCTGATGTGGCTGACATGAGCGATCTGTAAAATCCCTCTGAAAGGGAAGGGATAGGGAGGGAAAGAAACAGTTTTCCACTCTAGCTGTATTTCTGTTGTATGTATTTCCATATCCCTTCTGCTCAGATCTGTATATGCATTCCAGTTATATTCCCCTTGAGTCCATGAACTCAGATCAGTCCTCAAACCCATGACATTCATAATCCTTAGATTTTCTTGTTTCAAGGGGAAACATAATTAAGCCTTGAACAGAACCTAGGAACAGAAAAGATCTATTAACTAGGTCATCTCCTTGCCATTGCAAAGCTGTTGTACATTTAATGGAATTTAGCCTAGTTTTTCCTAATTCAATCTAAAAGGATCAGCTTTTTCCCTTCTACTGGGAATTAATTTATAATTAAAAGCAACGAACCACCCTGTCAGCTCATTTCACTGAGCTCTTGCAGATATGGTTGAAAGAAGAACATATGTGGTATCAGTGGTGTTTTCTGCACTTACTTCTCAGTTATGTTCTTCCGATTAATAGTGAGGATTTATATTGAAATTATCTTTCATTTATATTGAAATTATATTTCAGGACTATGTTGTCAATTGGAAAGGACACATTGCCTTTAATCATTTTCCACCACATTAGCAAGTTTCTTGACGGAAGTCTTGCTTCAGAGCTTCAAGGTTAGTAGCTTATTTGCTCACAGGCATAAATATGTGCCACTCCCATGAGAATAAGGTCATTATCTCATGCTTTTGAAGCAGGCATTGGTATCAGTGTTGAAAACAGCGTTAGCAGAAATTTAGGCTCTAAAATTCTCAGGGTAAGCCCCCAGTACACTTACATTGTTAGGGGAAAAAAACAACAACAACAAAAAAAAAAAAAATTAAAAAATAAATAGATTTAGATGGGTAAAAGTTAATCACTGGAAGCTAGGCATTTGTGCACTTCTATTCTTTCTTACAGCAGTCAGAGGCAACAGGAACCTACGCTAAGGTACGAGCAGCGCAGCTCTGAGAGAAAATTGTCTTTGTAGAGCAGCTTCTTGAGCATCTCTCTGCCAAAGGGCAGGAGACAAGCACCTTGTCTAAATGAGCCTGACAGGCTTTAGACACATATCCTTCAGATAAAGGGAGTTATGACACTTTTTTTCATGTCTCTGCATAACGTTTAGCCAGCCAAGTCGCAGCTGTTCCCGCTCTAACAGGCCACAAAGGGCTGCGTTCTCCTGTGCCTTACTCAGAACGGAGCTCCTTAGGAAACAACGGGTGTTGCAAGGCTTGCTGACCTGCAATGGGACAAGGGACCTCCACAAGGGAGACCCTTTGTGCAGTGATGATGAAGCCAAGAGGAAATGTAAGAGGCTGGGATCGTGCAGCTCATTTATTTAAGTATGGTGTCATCACCCTAATCAGCAGCTTCCACATTCAGCCCAATTCTGATTTTGCCTTCTGAAATTACTAAGGCAGATCAGATAAAGCACGGCTACCTGTTGGTAACATCCTTCAAAGTATTAAAGGTATAACCAAGATAGGAGTTACTCAGGGCAAAGCAGAGATAACAATTGAAGGCGTCTATAATATATAATACCTTAACTCATCAGTGTAGCTTAGATGACTAACTGTATGAAAAATGTGTCTTGTGCGTTTATCCACGTGCCAGTGACACAAGCAACCACTGAGCAGGGCTACAAGGTAATTGGTCCACGAGTTAAAACATGAAAAAACAAATCCATCTTAAGAGTGCTCAGAAAATAAGGTGGGCTAGATCCAGCATGTCAGATGTGAACATCTGAAACTTGGCATGGAGGGAGTGTACTGGAACTGGCCAGAAATCTAAAGATCAAGGCATAAACTGTATTCCATGTCACACAATGTTGTAGTTCATTTTCCTTGGTCGCATGCCTGTATTGTACATATGCTGTTCTTGCACTTCAAATTTTGGCAGTGCATTCTATCGTTACTTTTGAAAGTCTGATTTGGTGATTAAAAATCAGAAATGCCTACTGAGTTTGCAACAACTCGTTTCTTTTCGCTATCAGTCAGGACTGCTGGAAGTGAGAAATAAATGCAAATCTGCATAGCTACAACAAGCTTGTGGCTGCTGATTGACCATGCACACACATACAAACTCCGCAGCACTGAACTTTCCATTACCTACTTCACCACCGGTGTAGAAGTCAGAGTTTGTCGGGTGAACGACAGCATCACTGTCGATCGTGGCAATGTCAGCCTGTACAACTTGCAACTACAACAGGTAAACAGATGTATATCAACCACGTTGGACAGAGACCCAGCATAGGCTCTACATTTACACATGTACCAACGTCCATTATTTTCCTACCTTCACATCTCCAAACCTTGCGCCAAAGGAGTAATGCTGAGTGGTGTGTGCAGGTGTGTGTAGAGAAAGGGGTGTAGGGAACAGGAGGAGGAATATTGAGTACGACATGATCAAATAAATGTTAAAATGACAAGTCAGAGCAATCACACGAGATCATTTCCAAAGATTTAAGATCGGCTAACACCCCATTTCACTTGGCAGCATCCTAGAACAACTAGTTCCCCACAGAGCATGACACTAAAATATGGAATCTGTTTAAAAAAAGAAATTCATGATTGTCAAGCCAAACAAAATAACTAGTTTCTCCATTTTGTCAGCATCAATAAGCTGACAGGAACTCATCTTCATATGCATAGCAATTCATTACTTGGTTTCTAAAACCGACATTTTCCTTCAAATGGAGGAAGAAATGTATGGCAGGATTTTACTGAATTTGATTCAAAATGTGTAAATGATTGAGTTTATATTTTAAAGGTAAAGAATATTTTCGAATTATGTGTTGCAAAGGATGAGACACAGGTGTAAAAACATACATGTATCCGAGAGACTCATTTTAAATGACCCTTCTTGAATCTTTATCTTGTTAAATTACATACAGGAAATGCAGTAGCAGAATTATGGGTTGCATTCCATTAAAAAAGCAACAGCAGGTATAATGAAATAACAGTGGAGTGCAGTACATAATGTGTGGAAAGTTAATTTTTCTTTTATGCTTGCTGAAGAACAGACAGTTGATGAATCTGGAACAGGAGGAGGTTTAAAAATGATACAACATCAATGATAGTATCTGCAAGTTCAGCATTGTATACTATCAGTTTTTGTTTTCAGCTGAATGTGATCGTGATGGGGAGCAACTTAAACAGAATTGAAACAAATAATTTGACTGAATCACACATGAAATTAAGATACAGAAAATTTGGGTATAGTTGATCATCTAATCATTCTTCTTTAAAAAGTGTTGTGCCTACTCTGAGTATCAGAGAAAGAAATAACATCAGAGACTGCAGTCAGAATGGAGAAACTGCTTATTTTGAAAACAACCTGACAAAAAAAGTATTTTAGTCCTCAAAGAAGCCACATAAAAACCCCCCAAAATAGCTAACAGTCACATATGATCATTATGGAAAAGAATTTAAATGATTTTTTTTAAAATTGAATTCAACTCGAAGACTAGCAGTAGTTGCAAGTTTTCAGATTTGGTGAAAATGTCTTTTGAATGTAGTTCTTCAACAAGAGAGAACCTGGAAGATTAGAATTTTGGCTCTTATTTAATGAACGAAGCCCTAGAGAGTAAATTCTGGGTTCCATAATTTCCATGTGACCATTAGTTGTGTCAACCCATGCCCCATTTACCTAGGTCATCTTTAAGGTCAATGTCAGCATTGGTAGGATTGATAATGGCCTCCACCTCGAAGCCGGCTAAATTACTGATTTCACTGTGAATAAGGTTCAGCTGAAAAGAAAAGCATGAGGTGGGAAATAACAGGACAGCTGGGAAATCACAGAGAAGCTGCAGAAAAGTGAGCTTTGCAACACAGATGGAGATAGCATCACTGCAAACAAATATGCAAAATAAAAGGCAAGTCATAAAGGAGGGCTGTTATAAAAAAAAATAATAATAATTAAACAATTAAAAACATCAAACCCAAGACTCAAACACTGTTGACACTGGGAGGAAATAAATGTACCTACCAACAAGGCCCTATTTTGGCTTTGTGCTGAGTTCTATTTGAGGTTCTTGTTTCAGCATTATAAAAAAGGTATTTGTCTCTTCTTGAAGGACAGATGAAAGGCACCCTGATCATTTCTTATGCACCCACTGCAGGGATGTGCCATGGCTGTTCAGCACTCAAACTGGATGAAAGACACAGCTTCTCTTTACTGAAGCCAGTGAACCTGGGCATGTGCTTTAGGAAAGGAGGCACTTGTCTTTAGAGAGAACTCTACCCTAATAAAAGGCTGCACTTCTTTTTTCTTTCCATGCTACTGTCACCAGCTCCTGCCTTGCAGTCACTTTGGTTTTCACACACACAGTTCTGCTGGTGCCATCCTGCTCCAGTACTGTAAATAGGCACTGTTATGTCAAATAGTACAACTACATCATAAATTATGTTTATATCTACAATACATATACACCTTTAAAATGATTGTTTCACCAGCTAATTGGGGCACATGGAAAGCAATTACAAAAAATAAGTTCTCATTCATTTATGCAAGTCTTCAAGCCAACTGAGATTAAGTGAGGCTTTCCTTCTAACCCAAAGCCCCCATCCTCAACATATGAAATGTAAGATATACATTCAAACATAGCAATTAATCTCATCAAAAACCAAATTTCATCTCTTGGTTTGTAACCCACATTCTGTAAACTTAACTCTTTATGCCTTCTCCACTTGTATGTGATTTTATTAATAGGGAACACAAATCAATTCATGAAACCAATACAAATGAATGGGTCATTTAAGGAGGCCAACATTCATCCATTTAAGTTTTCTGAAAAAAATATTTCCGTTTCATTCATGTGATTACATGAATTGACCTTCTTTCTCTTTTTAAAAGTCAGCAATTTCATGTAATTTGCATACATTCCCCTGAGTAAACTCCATTCCCTCAAAATAGGGTGATTCTGGCTAAAAATGAGTGTAATTCAGCCCTGTTTTAAGTATGGGTCTGTCTGGGAGTCTGTAATAAAAATCGAAGCAAGCTTGCTTTCCAAATAGCTGAGAGTCCTTTAATACTTCACACCTGGTGAGTTATTCATACTGGAGTTTGAGTCTTGAGTTTGACTACAAGCAACTGCTGTTTAGGGCAAAAAAAAAAAAAAAAAAAAAGGAAGTCAAATAAAACCAAACCAAAATATTAAATAAACTATGAATTTTGAAATAGTAATAATAAAAAATATCCAAAAACAAAATACATGCACACACCAAAAGACTGTTTTGTGGAGATTTTAGTATGTTCCTACGCACATTTCATCCACTTTATAGGTGAATCTTTTTGATCCCTAATCAAGTTCTACAAATTTTTGCCCCAGGTTTATCAGCTGTGCAGTGTGTTGGTTTCAGACCTTAAATTATCTCTGCACCTACTTACAGAAGGGATTTACATAGCAGCCAGCTGCTACTTAAAGTTTCAACTTAACAGGAACAATGAAATGCTTAAAAAGCTGCCCGTTACTGATGACTTGTGTTGGCAGCTAAGTGTTATTTGGTCAATTCTGCACGTGCTGTGCAATGCAATGTTTGCTGACTGTCAAACAGTACAGCACAAATCAAAATTTTCCCATAGAACTAAATAGAGCAATTGCTCAATTTTACTTTTTAACAGTATGAAGCATTTATTTTAGACAGAAGAAACGAATCTCTAAACAGCCACCCTTACAAAAAACCTACTTGCACATCTATGTGCAACTTTCAAATTATTGGAAGTTTTCCTAGGATGAGTTTCATAGTGCAAAGTGAAAATGTATTTTGCAGGCCAACATGCTGCTATTTTTCTGAAAGCCCAAACTCTGATGCTCAGGCTTGAGGTCTGACAGTTTGCACTGTAGCTCACTTTTCCATTAAGAACACACAGAACAGAAATACAAGACTAATTAACCAGCTATGCTCAATAGGAATATTTTTACTTTCAAATTGAACAGCTCAAAATGTTTTAACACATGAAGCTTTTCTGCCATCCGTGTAAGGAGTGTAGTTGTATCTCCATTCTATAAATGGGGAAAGCAACAGGGAGAGAAGAGGTGATTCACCGAATCTCTTAAGTGGCCAAATCCAGAAGCCAGGAGTCCTATATCCCAGGCCTTGATCTGAATCACCTGGCTTCTTCTTGACCCCAGAGAGAAGCCTTTCCCTCCCTCAGAATGCTGTTTAGAAGTGAGGCTATGTTGAATGGAAGAAAGGACATCCTGCAACCAGGCAGTCACCTTCTGTCCTCACACACTCCCAAAATAAGCACCATGCAGGAGCCTAAGGAATCAAACCACAGCACTGTTATCTCCAACAGCTATTGAAGAAAATTCTCATTGTTATGTTTATGAATACCATGTGGCATTAATTTAAGGCATTTTAAAGTCAATATTATCTTTTTAAACATCAACTGCATATAGAAGTGGCTACGTAGAAGCATTTAATTGATTCAATGTCACGGCAGTTTTTAAACATAATTGTTACATTTCGTTTCTAAATTTCCAAAATAAACAAACAATTATCTGGGATTTCCACGTCACAAATAATTATAAACCCCCACAACTGGCAGTGAGTCCCCAGGCTGCAGACCTGCATGGCAGCACATGCTCTGGCCCAGCCCAAGTTTAGGGGACAGGGAGCACTGAAGTCCCACTGATTCCATGGCTGAATATTTTATCTTTGCTTTTGTTTTGTTTTAAATCACAAGAAAATAAATATTTGATCATATGGAAAAGGCATCTTTGGAGAATAATTTTCCAAATTATTATTGTAGTGCACAGTATTCTGTAGAACACTTTAAAAATATTTCTAGGAATAAGCCAGCATAATAGGGATGTCTTTTCTTTGTATGCTAAATAAGATGCCTGATCACCAAAGGGCAAAGATTTTGTACTCTAGGCTCTCTCTTCTTCATTCCTAACATGAGTGCTTGAAAGAATTCAGATTGGTCTAAATGTGCTATTTTGGGGGTACATCAGAGCATCCAAGAGTTTCATTTTTCAGTGACACATAACAAGATACTGAACATTCTTATATTTGTTAGAAGCGTCAATGGTAAAAAACGCAGCACTAACAGATGAGGAACCAGCGTGAGGATGGATACAAAGCACCAGTGATCTGGAGCTGCACTCACAGGAGTACGAGCAAGCCAGAAAGCCCATTTCCCATACAAGGTACTGCTGGAAAACTCCACAACAGACAGAGGCTTTGCTCATCACTGCTTTAAGCAGTTCTGGAGTTCACAACTCTCTTCCTTTGAGCCCAGTCACAAAGACCCATTGATCTGCAGGGCCAGTCTAGTCAGAACACGACATTACTTCCTATTAAAGATTTCTTATGGTGAGTTCAAGGAGCTCAGAGTCAGACCCAGAAGTCTTACACACTTAGCTTTCTTCAGACAGTGACTTAGTCTGTAAGTTTTGGGTTCTAATTCAGTCATCTGCAAGTCTTTAAAATTACATTCTAAACCACTCCCCTAGAGGTAGTCAAAGAACAAAAAACCCCTACTGATCTCATAATCTGGCTCTAAGTGTACAATTGACAGTGGAAAACAAGAAGTCTTACAAGAAATAATGTTACTTTCATGCACGTTAAAATTAGCAAACAAATTGTGGAAGGATAAATGGAGAACATCCTCAATATGAAATAAAAACAGGTCAGAGGATACACCCCACAATGGACAATAATGGTTCATCTTTTATGACTTACAACACAATGATCTGATTACTGAATGATAGAAGAAAGATGCAGTTTTACTTAATAAAATTTAGGATTGCAAACTAAAGGCAGGTTCCAAGATAAAAGACCAAATTAACTTCTTCAACTGTCTCTTCAAATGAATTGCCTTTTTAAACAGATGTGTTTGTATCAAACCACCCCATGTTCCAAAGCATATTCACAGAAAAAAAAAGATCATGGACTTAGAGCTTTTCATAAAGGCATCATTCATTATTACACAGCATTAACTATTGCAAAAAATAAAAAAAAATAGAACAGAACACGAGACAACTATTATAAACAAAGGTCTAAAAGAGGTTTTGATTAAAAACTGCACATCCTCCACGTCAGCAATGAGGTGGGATGCCCTTCAGAAAAGCCATTTTATTCTTACAGTAGTTTTGTCTTTGGCAAAAGCTTTGCTGTAGCAATTGTGCTGTCTGTGAGTAAGGCAAGATAGATTACAAGCACACAGGCTTTCTTTCTATTTGGGTATTTAATGATGTAGGTTTACGAAGACTCATTTCTGTATATTTTAAATGTTCTAGAAGTTGTTTCAGAGAATTTCTGTGTTCATAAACTAATTTCGTACACCTCCACACACGCAGTGGAGGAATGTCAATTGTGCCTGGATATTCTGGGGGTAGGGGGTGGTGGGAGGGGCTATTCCCTGAGCAGCACAGAAAATTAAGTATTCATTTATAAAAATGCATGAGCATACCTTCTGGCCAAGAAACAGACTTTTTGTGGACAGGACTGTGAAGCCATCTGCAGGAGTTCCCTCTGTTGTGCTGTCAGCAGTGGCTGATTTGCTCACTTCTCCCTGCTTCTTCTTCCAAAAACAGAGTTAATTAGTTAACTCAAGACTCAGGGTAAAACAGTGTTTAATAACACTAACAAATATGACATACACAAATGCTTACCAGGCAATAAGATGCTACTACAAACACTGGCGTTTGGATTTTATTTTTAAGTCTGTAGTGGCTGATAAAAGCTGAAAGAATCACAGCAAAAATGACCTCAATGTCTGCATATCTATATATTCTTTTCTTGCCTATGATTGCACACAATTGAGGGGATGAATACATTAAATGTTGAAAGATAAAATAAACTTTTAATAGCTTTCTAATGGTTTGTGTGCAGAAATTCTGTTTCCACTGATGTGTAGGCAGACAGACAAAGTAGAAATTGGCTTGTCAGAGAGCACATTTTGTTTCTCTGTGAAGGAAAGCCATCAAAGGTTTCATGAGACCTTTTAGAAATACTGTTTTGAAATGCATCTTTCCTTAGGGACAGTGCAGAGAAATACATTGTGCTTTCTGCCTGCATGCCAGTAAGGAATAGGCTGAACTTTTCTTTGTCTTGCCTGGTCATTTTCCTTTAGCTCCAGTAAAACCGTGGAGGGCCAGTTTCCTCAATCACCATTCCTTCTTTTCAATTATATGACTGAAGTAAAATGATAAGTATCAGGACATAATTGATTTACTGAATAAAAAAAGAGAATTAAGAACACTTTGAAAAGGATGCTTCATGAAGACAGAGAACTGACTGCTGCAGCTATCGACTCATCTGGTACCGAGGATCATTTCATATTGTCAACTGAATTACTACTTGTGAGCTCATTTAAATCTTTTGCCTCAGCACTACATATGCTGAAGCTGAAAGCAAACTTGGAACACTAGGCAGCCACCTTTCTCCTATCACTCCTTTCCAAAGTATATAAAGTATATAAACTAAATCTGCAGCTGAACAACTAAGACGACTGATACAAAGGTGTATTTGTGCTTCTAGAAGCTGTTGCCATGCTTTTCTTTACACAAATGTTTCGAAAATTAGATTTTCATGGGTCCCATTTCAGTTCCCCTAGAGTTTACTGTTAACCGAATACCAACATAGAAAGGAGACAATACAATTTATTGTGTGGAAGAAAAACAGAAACCCGCAACAGACTTCCTGCTTTTGTAATCAAGCAGGAAAAACTATCCAGATTTAGAAAAATTATTAGTGCACAGTTATAAGAAGCACTGCACTTGAAATGTCAGCTACTGGGTGTTCTAATAGGGAGAATTAAATTCAACAGTTCAAAACACAGTGAAATGATAAGGATAGTGACCAAGTAGACAACAGGAGAGACATACAGGATGAATACAGAAGCTCTGTTTGACTCAAAAGGGAACATTTTCAAATGCACTGTCTATTTCAGGAGAATGTGGGTACTTTTCTTCCTAATTCCATTATCTATTGATTTACAATGGTTATTTTGCAGAAAAAAACCTCCTTAGTTGCACATGCACACATTAGAAAGATTCCCTACTCCTGCAAACTGAAAGTAAATTTGGAAAAAAGGAGCTACATGTTTTCCTTGGCTTTCTAGCATAAGAAAATCATATTTTGGACCTCTTGTTCTTCCCCTCAACTCCATCTTCCTTTTGAGTTAGTTTCATTGATCACTCAGAGTTAAAACACTAAGTTTAAACATGGAAGAATCTCATTTATAGTATACTAACAGGTGGACATTGTGGGTCTTCAGCTGAGCCAAAGAAATTGTGTGTAACCACAATTAATACAATTTCTCTGGTGCTGCAAAAGCCTGAACTGCCTGCTCTAGGAGAATTGCATCCTACTTCAGAAGGACTATTTCACTCTGTCTGAATTTCAGCAAATGAACTACAGTAAGAGGAGTCTTATATTAACCTGGAACAAAAAGATTAATCCAGAAACCACAGAAAAAAAAACAACATCTGAAAGCACGACTGACACGTTAATGGCTGCTGACATTATTACAAGGCAAGTGACCTAGAGTACTGTTTTTCTTCAACATTTACAACTTTAGAGTATACTCGAACAAAGTCCAACCAAGTTTACTCTGTCTAATGCAACGCAGACACTTGTGCAATCACAGCAAAGTGATCTCTACAGTTGCTATGTGAGATCCCACTTCTGCCTGCTGGTTTCTCCATCAGTGCTCACCCAACAACCTGACAAAGAGTAAAGCACTCATCACTTGCCTGCCTGTCCTGCAGGCCTGTGCCACTTCTTCCATCTACTGCAGGGATTGGGCAGCACTCTTCCCTCAGCATTTGCTTGTGCTTGTACTGAAATCACTACTTTTAAACACACACTAAACCTCCTAGGTGATATTCCCAACAGCTTGTTTGGGTTGAAAATAAATGGATTACTCTACCTTGGATTTCCTTGCTCCTTTCTTTCCACCTGTTTTCTTTGATACAGTTTTTTTCTGTGATGGAGACTTTGCCTTCTTTGCTGGAGGTGGAGTGATGATGGCTTCCAGTTTTCCTTTTGAGCCCCGCTTCTTTGCCAACAGCTCTGGGTGAATATTGGGCAAAACTCCACCACTGGCTATGGTGACCCCTTTCAATAGCTAATAAGAAAAACAGAAGTTGCAGATGACAAATTCCAGCATTTACACACCAACAATAGAAAATGGCATTTACTGCAAACTTCATACGCTGCCTTGAGTTTTAACTGATTCTGGTATGTTTTTCAACAACTACTTTGAATAAGACAACATGAAGCATATGAAACATCTGAAGTTAATCATATACTGAGGTGTAACTGTAAAGGGAGTACACATTCTTCTTGCACATATGCTGTTACTGTGAATGTCACTTGAGCTCACACAAGAGCTGTTTCTTCATTAAGCTGTGAAGCCATGCAATGAAGGCTGCTACCCAGCTACCAGAAACCAGGCTGCCCTGCAAAGCCCTCATGTCTGTGGCTGGGGAATCTCAGTTTTTTGAGGAATGAGACCCCGAAGTCCATGGTACAGGACTGCAATGCGTACCAGGCTGTGTGTGACACAACACATCTCCGTTGCTGAATTTCCATCAGCAGGCATTGTTTTAAACAGAAACTATTTGTTAGAAAAAGGAACTTCAAATGGAGGGTAACATTTATACAAATCTCTATACCTGGAAGTCTTTCTTCAAAAAAATCTTTATGTAGTTGAAGAAAAGCAGATCAATACTCAAAAGTGTGCAGTTCATTCAAGCCTTTAAAAGCAGAGGTGAAATAAATCACGGTCTGTATTTAAAACCACTTTAAACCTTTTATTTTTTCCTAACATCTTACTGGGACTAATTAAGTATTAGGGAAGATAGAAACAGTGACATCAAAGTCTCTCAGGTATTTCCCACCTTCTGATTCACATTTACTGCTCCCCAACCACAACCCAGCGAGGCTCTCAGCTTACAAAAGGAGGTATTATTACAAAAAGAAAGCATTATCTACTTCCACGCAAAAACAGAAGGAGGATAATTTCTTTTCTGCTCTATCACGATACACAAGGTTGGAACAATATCTTATCAGATGTTGTTTTACAGCACCTCACAAAAAAGGGAAGTTAATTCTCGCCAGTGCCTCTGGCTGACACAACACCGTAATAACAATGCCCAATTATGTTTTTGCTAAATTAGATGTCTTGAAATCTGTAAAGGACACAGACTTGCAAGTGTTCCAGAGCTCTTCATTCTGGAGTTGCCAAGACAGACTCCAATGGGAACAGGATAGGTCCCATGGAGTCCAAAGCTGGTTAAGGGGGGGAATACAAAAAACAAACCAACAAAAAAGTGCTCTGAGAGTTTGTGATAACGCTCTTGTCTTCAACAGAAGTGATTGCAACAGTGCGAGTAAACGTCACACCGCATTTCCCGTGTATTTCCACACATTGGAAGCATCCTGAAATATATAATTAAGCTGAGTGCTCTTTTTTGTTACACAGCCAGTGCGCTAGTGAGTGAACGGGCTGTTTTGTGGTGGGCTGCTCAATAAGCAGAGGTCTTGAATTACAATTCAGCTATATGGAAAGACAATTTTAAAAGCCCTGAAGGAAATCCTGGCCCTCACACGGTGGAGTTTTTGCTTACCTGATTTAATTCCTCATCATTTGCTACAGCCAACAGGATGTGTCTAGGAGTGACTCGACCCTTCTTGTTGTCCCTTGCTGCATTTCCAGCCAGCTCCAGAATTTCCGCTGGGGAAAAAAAGTAAGCCCCTTTTAATTACATAGTGATTTTTCTTAATGACCACAACGTATTATTTAGCATCCATTAAAAATAAATAAATAAATAAATAAATAAATGTGAATGCTGCAGTGTTATTCCTGACTGCTGTCATATAACCTCAGTGAAATATCTAAGCCTTAAATCACTGGATGCTTTCCTAGGTGCGGTCACTGAAGGCAGAATGCACATTAGAAGACCTGTGGTCTAAACTACATTTACTTTGTTGTCCTTATAAAGTTCTCAACTTTTCTGTGTTCTTCTCAAGTTTACTGTGTGTTTATTTCCCCCAGTTCCCTCTTCTATAAGGTGGCAGAGGACCAGATGTACAGATTTTTCTAAAACCTGTCACAAATTCTGGTTTGCATCGCTTCCACATTTTTAATTACTAGAGAACCTGCTATTCTCAATTCCTTACTTGTAATGTTATGGAAGCATGTAAGCACACATCCGAGTTAGGATATGCAAATACAAGCTATGCAGATACTACACTTAATGATTTTCTTTGTCTCTTTAAGAAGTTAGCCAGAAAAGGTAACTGATAAATCATGTTTGTTTGCTCCTAGTAGATCACCCTCTTAAAAGAAATTTCCAGCCCCTACAAATTACACTTAACAGCTGTGCCTATGATGACTTATATTGGAATTAGGAATGATTAACTTGCTTTCCTGTAAGGACCTATGAAGCGCAAGGCAGGAGCCTTACCTACCAACTTCTCTGTCTTCCACTCAACAAGCCTTAGGCAAAGAACATCATTAATTAAAACAAAGTCAGGGGAACAAGAAAAAAAGACATCATATGTTTATATCTGACTTTGCAGTTACAAGCTATGGCTGTCTTCGTTATCCATGCTTTCATTATACAAACTTTCACCTCCCTCTGCACAGACTTTCACCACTGCTTTTGGAACACTACCTTCTCTGAAACCTGGAAATGTTTTGAGGAAAAAGAAAAAGAAAAAAAGCAAATGCCTTTTATACATCTAGAACATGAAAACATGCCAAAATTTAACATTAGAACTTGTATATCAGAGTGCTTTCTTATTTAATAAGAAAATGCACCAAGAAAGCCCTCCCATAAGCTTGCTTTAGAGGCAAATAGGCAAATTAAGATTGTAATACTAACATGAAAAAGATCAAAATCAAGGGTCACGTGACCACACGCCTTTACTGTAGCACACAGTAAATGTTAAGCAACACCACATAGCACAGACTATGGCTTTTCTTTAGACTGAACATGGTTCTCCAATTATTTTTCATCACAAGTCCCATAATAAGCTAACAATGACATCTATAGGAAAATGTACAGCTGCTTTTACAGTGAAGTTTCATCAAGGATTTTGGTGGACTTTCACCATTTTTGCGTACTTTAAAGTGGGCAATTTACTTTTTTATAGGGCAAGACAGAACACGAAGTTTAAGCCCTGGAAAGTAACTCTTATAACATCTCATGCTGACAACAATTAATTTATTTTTAAAGCAGGATTAGCAGGGTAAGGTCAACCTGGCTATGCTTTCCACACCTCCAAAGAACAGAATTAAGCTGGCATAATCCCTTCCACATACTTCTCATAAGCCACAGCTCAGACATTTGTGGTTTAGCCTGCCTTGCCTGTTGTGACAGAGGACCTGTATCACGTTCCAAAGGGCAAGCTGTGCTCTTGGTTACACCCTGCGCATTCCCACTGACCTCAATAAGATTCTTTGGCACTGCAATGCCACCACCTCCACCTCTCTAGAGCAGGAATCATTTTGTTTGTATCCCAGAGTTTACTACTGGCTGAAAAGCATGGCTGCAAGCTTTTTGGTTTTGCCTCTGCTTCCCCCACCTCCGCTCCTTTACTGCATCAGGCACTGCTGAACAGTTGGGCCGTGTTATTCTCTGCAACCCATCGGCATAACTATGCAGGCAGGTCATTCTGTAACTAAAGAGTCTAAGAAAGTGTTGTGCCTGTAAAGCACAGAGGAATGTTTTATTTGTTCCTCATAAAACTCAAATGTCTGCCCCGTACAGTGGAGAACTGTTCTTGCAAGTGCTAAGCCCTCTTCCTTGGACAGGAAACTCATTTTGAAATTACAGTTTTCTAATGGTCCTTTAGGGAAGTTGAGGTACCCCGCTTCCTTTTCGGGAACAGAACGCTTTGCACTGCTGCTGAGGACCACAAAAGAGGAGCTGAGGGAGAGGAGGAGGGCACGGAGGGTGGGTTTTTTCTTTTGACCTTCTCCCAACAGCTCCAGCCATAATCGGGCATTGCTTGTGCATGCAGAGAGCCTACAGCACAGGGAGCTGCACAACCCTGCTGTGTGCACAGGGCCGGACAGAGGGGACCCTCAAAGGGGATGGGGCCAATACAGAGAACAATTCCTTGATTTAGAACTGACAGAGACAAACCCAATCCAAACCCAGCAGATCAGAGCCTTTATCTATGCTGGAAATGGAGACCTTCTGGATCTGGAACTACACGGCTGGATTCTGCTTGCAGCCATCTTTCCTTTCATACCTGTTTTATCCTACTTTGAATTTACAAGATTTAAATGGTGTTTCATCCAATGTTTTAAGCTAATCTTAAATGAGACAAAATTTAGCCTTGTCAGTAAAGGAGCTGATTCATATTTCCAGAACAATCTCTCTGAATTGAGGCACGTGGCTGAAAGAGCAGTAGGTGGGAAAAGGTAATTAAAACTGTGGTTTGATCCCAATCCTGCAGTCAGATCCTTCTTTGGGGCAACATTGGAAGCACCCACCTATCAGCTTCAAGGAGCTGAGTCACCAAAGAGCTCTGCTTCATTAAAGGTAACATTTTATGATGTGCAGCATCGCTACACAGCACCACGAAGCTGGAACACAGGCAACCAAATGAAGGGCCTAATGCATGGATACATACTTTTTTTTTTTTTTTTTTTTACTACTGTATCAGGTTTAATGATTTAATCACATCTAAATTTTTCATTCATGAACACAAAGCAATCAAAGTCTGCCTGAGAATGTGAACAAGTAAATAAATACTGATCATCTATGAGAACTCTCATCAAATGGATGTTCAGGAATATCCATGCAATTCAACAGAATCAAGGCATAAAGCTTTGCTTCAGCTGAGGCAAAACAAATCAAGTCCTACGAGCTTCCATATCAGACTCACTAGGCACATATATCCAGCCAGCAAAACAAAGCAAGATCAATTTGCAAAAATGAGGGCTCACAGAAAGGAGGAAAATAGGTTGCATAATGTCTGCTCCACTCCTGCCATGTATTTACTCAAGGTATTTCCACCCTAGAGAATAATTACATGGCCACCGCTCAGGCAAAGGCAACTATGAGACACACTTTATAGGAGGAGTTTTTTTAATGTATTTTTTTTGAACATGAGGGAAATATACAAGTTGTTCATCACGACAAGCTTTCTAAGATATAACTCTACAATTTTTGTATGTTAATTTGTATATACACGTTACTAAGAAGAGAAGCTCTTTATCGTTGGCTTATAAATGACTTTCCCTGTGCTTTTAAATGCATTTCAAATAACAAAAAAAAAGCAGAACAACACACATTACTTTACCTGCAAATGTAAGAAAAAAATCCAGTAGAAGTGGTAGAAAGCAAATAATTGGGAAAGAAAAAACGAAATAGGAATGTCATGGCTGCATGTGATACATTGATGTATGAACTACTTTTCCGCAGCAATGGATGTGTTAGCAGTCAGACTACAGCATGAACACACTGGTTTGATTCAAAATACACAATTTAAAGCAAATGCTTGAAGTGGGAGGAAAACCTTAAGTTGGGAAATTCTTTCTTAACTTCAATTTAATTCTCATTTATACAAGTGAAAAAATCCTTTGCAATGCTTGGAACTAGGCAAATGGATATTGGTAATGAAAACTGGACTAAGCCTGTTCTCAGCGCTCAAACAAAAGCACCAGATTTTTTTTGTTAGTTTTTTTTTTTTTTTTTTTTTTCCCTCTTGAGGTTTCTAAAGCTCAGTTCAACATTTTAAAAAGAGAAAAGAAAACAGGTTGTATATCTTTGTACTTAAGCCTGAGATAAGACCACAGGAAAGGCTGTTCTCGAGGCTTTTCCTACTCAAACACTATCAAAAGTTGATAGAAGTCTCTACAGAAACCTCATCCTGGAGCAAGCTGCCAGAGCAAGTTCCTCATCCTTCACTTGCAGAGACCTCTGCTCTGATCCTCTCTTGGACATCCTACAAAGTTCCCAGTTCTATTACTTGCATTTATTTCACTGCTGCTCATTGAGTACCAGGCCTTTGGTGTTTCATAACACTTGCAGATTTTGAAACAAGAACTCAACACTGAGGTTAAAATAAAACAAATCACTGTTGGATATAAGCAAATCAGGCACAGTAGTAACTATAGACCTGGATATAAACAAAATTAAGTGCGTGTTTCTCCCACTCCCACCAGTTCATTTACCCTAACAAAGTATTACCGGTCATTACTGACTAAAACTCCTTTAGAGCTTAAATGACAAAGCCTTTAGCTTAGCATGCATTCAGGCTGTCATACTTTCTAAATGTAAATACTCGATTTAATCCTGTCTGAGTTCATCCCAAAAATGTTTTGGGTTTGGTTTTTTTTTTTGTTGTTGTTTATGTCTCAAACTAAAAATCTGCCGTTGCATTGAATCCTTTTGTCCGCCTTCTCTTCAGGGAGATGAAATCATAGCTTTGAAAATTAAACTCTTAACAACTAACAGGTGATGCGTTGACATAAAGCCAACTTCTGAAGGCTGGAGCTCCAACAAGGAACATTTTCCAAAAGAAATTTCAAAGCCTCTCCTCACAATAAAATATTTGAGAACAATATCCAGAAACGAAAGAAAAATGAATGCTGACACAATTCCATTGAGAAAAAGTGTATTGGCTACAGAGCCAGCTATATGACAAGGAGTCTGTTCATTGTACTTGAAATTAATCAACCTTCCATCAGCGTTTTATTGACTTCAGAATCATTTT